ATGTATTAATTCATACATTTATTCATACATTAATTATATGTTTGTTATACATTTATTATATATACAATATACGTTCATTATAAATAATTACATTTAGAAGAAATTTCTCAGATTCACAGCACATGCCCAATTCGTGAACCATATCGTTTTTGGACGCATAAATGCCCAATGCAAAGAGTTAATACCAGTATTAAATTCGCTGGAACATGTGATCAATATGGCCATCAAAGTAACGCAATAATATAATTTGAAAGGGGTTCCATAATTCACCGTCGTGATTTCGAATGAAATATCTAATGAACATTCCGATGTGTCCAATACCGCATTCCCTGAAATTTCCCGGGTATCAAATCGGGTTCGCGGAAAGTTGCAACGAGTCCCCGAATTTCACAAATCACCGTAACTTCTGTCGCGATGGAAATCGAGTTTTCGAAATATCAAAGGTCGGATCGCGAGCGAATTTTCCCGCGTGACAATTCGCGAGCACGATGTACCTCTTTTCCTTTTTTCTTTCTCTCTTCCATCTAGATAAACGCGGCGCGCAGGCCACTTCCGGCGTGGCGGTAGCTCTTCCTGTTATCCTCAGTTGCCGCGGCGAGATATCGCAAAAAGCTAATCGGGTTCGTGGCGAGCTTTAATCAAACGGCCGTGCCGGTTGTGCACCGTAGAATCTCGCTTTATCTTTGCTCGAAGCACCGCAAAAGTCGTGTACGTATCCCTTTCGAGCCGCGGAACTAATCGAGTTTCCACGTGCATCCCAACGGACAAAGTGCTCGATGAGAGCTTTAATCTAAAGTGCACGCTGGTACACGTGTGTGTACACGCGTCGCTTTCCTGTACGGATAAATACACGGCCGTACAAACATTGCCTTGCTTTCGTTCGGAAACGATTTCGTTTGTGTCCCTCGCAAAAACGCGATCTTGTTAACTGATCTTCATCGCCTTTGATACTGTTCTGGGTTTCTAATTTTCTCTTGTTTGTTGTTTAGTTACAACTTTTTATACGAAATTCTCAAAGTGTTATATGCATTGCAAAATCATTTGTATTGTTTAAACATACAGGATTCCTAGTGTTGATCGTTTAATGTTTCAAAAATTTGAAATTTTAAAATACACGTATGCATATGTAAACATTACATATTCATACTTCACACATGCTACTAGCAATGTTAAAAATCAATCAGGTCGAATAGAAAATTGTAACGAATAATAATATAATATATCTGAAAAAATAAAAATTTTAAATTCACATATACATATGTATGCATATGTGAACATTACATACTCACACTTCACATATGCTACTAGGGATGTTAAGAATAAATGAGATCGACTAGAAAATTATATTCAACAATAATATAATATATCTGAAAAAATTGAAAATTGATAATTCACATATGTATACATATGTAAACATTACATACTCATGCTTCACATATGTTACCAATGTAAACTGCAAATAAACCAGATTAACTAAAAAATTGTATCCAACAATAATATAATATATTTTAAAAAATTGAAAATTTAAAATTCACATATGTGTACATATGTGAACATTATACACTCATGCTCCACATATGCTACTAGCAATGTGAACTGAAAATAAGTCAGATAGAAAATTATATCCAATAATATTATAATATATTTGAAAAGTTTGAAAATTTAAATTACACAAGTACATATGTGAACACACATGATCACATGTGACCGTACACTCACGTGATCGTATCACGTGATCATCACACTAAGAGCTATGTTCACACGTGACTGTAGCTGTAAGTTGAATTATTTATCTAAAAAACGAAAGAAACTACTAATGTTGACAATACAGAAATTAAAAAATGAAATGGAACGAAGTAAAGCGTATCCGATCACAAACATAAGTTTTCACCGTAGCCATCGTTAAGGAATTATTTATTTGCGATTACCGTAGATCCAACGCGATAATACGTGCATTATCGCTGGGTAATGCATATGCAAAAAGCATTAGCATCGGTATCTAACTTCTGATATTGAATAGCTGACACCGATGTCAACGTGTCATCAGGAACTGTCGGAGTTTCGACGAACTCGTACTACTGCCATGGCTGGCTGATTATGTACCGACCACTACTACTGTTAGTGGTATTCAGTACCGTGTGCCAATGTAAACGATGGCTGACTGATACGACCAGTTTCTACTGCGTTGGTAATGACCCGCGATATTAACATTCTGTTTGTCTAGGACTTCGTATTACTACATTCTTGGTAATTATGCGTTTCCTCTGTTTACGTAACGTCACGTCGTGGAAAATAATATTCTGTTTGCAACGAATTTGAATAGCAAACTCTCTTACCTTTTTTTGCGGAACTCATTTTCCGTGTTCGCGGAATCACCTTCGTCATTTATTTAATCAACTTCCACGGGGAAATTAATCCATTTTCGGAGGAATTTATTAAGCTCTATTTGTTCCGAGAAATGTTTGTAATTATTATCAAAATGTGGACTGAAATTAATTTATGTGCGAAGGATTTATTAAGCTTTATTTGTTCTGAAAAATGTTTGTAATGGTTATCAAAACGGGGAGTGAAATTAATTTAATTTCATTATATTTAATTATTCTCAGAAATGTTTGTGATCATTAACATGTGGAAATTAATTTATCTACCAGGAATTGATTGATCTTTACTTACTCTGACGAATATTTAGTATTACCGAAATTTGAATTGTAATTAATTTAGTTCTGAGAAATTTATTAACATTTAAAACGTGGACTGAAATTAATTTGTTTGCCAGGAGTTAATTGATCTTACTCTTACGAATATATACTATTACCAGAATTTGAAATTTAATTAATTTATTTCTGGAGAGTTATTAATACTAATCAAAATGTTGATTCCTGTAAATTAGAGACATATTTTACATTTCATTTTGTTAAGAACATTTTTTTAAATTCATCTTTTATCTTGTATTACACTGTGACTGTACTAATAAATTTAATTTAATTAACTAAATTAATCAACCTAAATAATAATAATCTTCTTCTGTTTAATTAAGTTAAAAGGTAATTATGCAAGTATAAATTAACCCAAAAATTTCACGAATATATTTTTTAATTTTGAAATTAAAGTAATAATACACACATCAGAAATTATAATTCATTATAAAAAATTTGTATCACATATATATAAATAAAGATAATTTATTATATAAATGATATCAAATAAATATTAATGAAATTTGATTTATTTAATACAAATTAAACAAATATTTATGAAATTTGATTCATTTAACGTAGATCAAATAAACATTAATCAGATTTGATTTACTTTATACAGATTAAATAAATATTAATGAGCTATGTTTTATTTAAACTAGATTAAGTATTAATGAACGTAATTTATTAAAATTTTCCAGAAATTCACTTTCAACTGTTATCAATTAAAACCAGCAGCAAATCCGAAACAAATTCATAATCTCGTTCGATGACTTCAAGCATCCTACAATTTCAGCATCGCAATAATTATCGAAATAAGTGGATAACAGTTGAGAAATCCTGGAATACTTTATCGAACAATTATCCACAGCAAGCATTATTCAGAAAGTCTAAACGACGGAAACAAGTATCAATCCAGTTATCCAACAAGGGAGATTAGGGACGGGACAAATGGAAGGCTTCGAATGACGTATAAAAATTAATAAGAGTGTAGTTAGAGGTCACCTAACATGCCTGACGATCAAGAAGATCAACGTAATCCTCTTACGTCCCTGGATCTTCAGAACCGCGTTGACCGACTCATTCGAAGGCTGCTGCTCTAATCCTTTAAACCTATCTCAGGCGAACCAATATCGAACCAATTTCAAGAAAACGGTGTCACGATATATCGACTGACATGCGGCAAAGCTTTTGGATTAAATTATCCAAGTAGCTGTGTTCGAACGAAGGAAAATAGCTTGCTGAATAAAAACTTTTCTATTCGGAAGTTAAACTGCGGAAGAATTCCGAGCGATATTAATATTGTGATGGAAATAGATTTTTGGTTAATGATAATTGTGATTCTTCAAACGGTTCAAAATAATTGTGTAGTTCTTAGAGGTGTTAGTAGGAGATTGGCACTTCTAGATGTAGTTATATAGACTTGCAAAAAAGAGGGACGTTGATAATAGAATTAGTGGAGTGGGTAGCGCAGTGGACTTCTAATTCGGGGGCCCGGGTTCGAATCCCAATAGGGGGGCACGCAGTTTTTTCTCAACTATTAAAATTATTTATCCCCGTTTTTAATAATTGATAGATAATCGATTTCCAAAATCCAAAAATTTTCCAACGTTTCAAAATTTCTTTAAATTCCTATACTTTCGAAATTCTGAAATTCCAGAATTTCTACTGTCATAAAAGTGTTTCAAGATCCTAAAATTTCAAAATCCATAAGTTCCCTAAACTTCCTAAAATTCCAAAATCCCCTAAGATTCAAAAATTTCAAATCTGTAAAATTCCAATTTGTTAAAGTTCCAAAATCCTGAAATTCGAAAATCCCAAAGCTCTAAAAGTGAAATTTCTCGAAGTCCTAAAGCTCTAAAATCCTGAAATCCTAAAATTTCAAAATCCCAGTCCCTCTCAAAATTCTAAAATCCAAAAGTTCTAAAATTCCAAAGTCTCCCGATATCCAAAAATTCGAAACCCAGTAGAAACCCCCAACCTTGTACCCACTAAAAATAAGTCAATAAAAACTGAAAAAATACAATTTCAAATACCTTCAACTCCAAAACAAATTGAAAAACTTCACCCAAAAACCACAATACCAAAAATCACCATCCTGTCTCTACTACATTAAACAATACCTCCTCCATTTTCACACCGTAAAATGAACTCTACTTAACTAAATTATCCATAATCATCACAGTCGTGATACTAACAATAATCGTTCTCACCAAAACAACGTGCCGTTTAATAAATAGAAAGGCACCTAATTGAAATTGCGCAGTAATTAGACGATCCAAAACACTGTATAATTAAACTTACCTTCTGCTGCTGTGCTTGTGTAGGTTCCGTAGCAAGCAATTGCTTCAAAGCAGGATGTCCATGGCCATTCGGCGTCGATGTTGCACCTGGTGTACTTGGCGTGCTAGGATTGCTTCCTGGTGTGTTAGGGGTGTGAGGACCGGTCGTTGGACTGCTAGGACTAACACTTTCATTCACTTTGCTGCCTGCGTGATGATTCTCCGTATGCCTTCTCAAACTTCTCGCGTCGCAATACGATTTACCGCATCCTTCCGCTTTGCATTCGTACGGCTTTTTATTTCTATGTGTCAGCATGTGTCCGTTCCTGAAAACAAACAGGATCATCTTTTTAGATACGCAAGACTGCTTATTCGAGTTATTTAACACATGAGGCGTATAGAATTTTGTTGAATTTTAGTCACATGTTGGATTTTAGGCTCTTTGCAATTTTTATTGAAATACGAGAAATTTTTTTTTAATTGCAATGTTAAATACAAGCATCTTAACACTAAAACTACCAAACCGATCAAATGACCGCTCCACAAGCTTCTTATTATAAGGAACACATTTTATTGAAATACATTTCTTGAAATCAGAATAGATTTTCATCAAGATAAAAAATAAATGTGTGTACTAATTTATGTTTCGTCGTTTGTTTATTTATTTTTTAACTTCATTCTTAATTTCAAATTAAGTATACATTATATGCCGGTAGGTTTAGTGTTAATATTTCATGGCATGGAAAATTTCAAGAGTCTTCCTGACAGCTAAAATCTCTATAGCCAAAAATATGGAGAACCTAAAATCTTGACAGTCAAAATCTCGACAGTTACAACCCCAACAGGTAAAATCCCAACAACTGAAATCCCAAAGGCCTGAATCGAGTTATAATTTCAGTAGGTAAATCGCTATTTTCCTAAAAGATACTTGGGTCTGCATAAAGAAGAAAATGTGGGAAAGACACGAAAGATCCGTAAGTGCAACAAGTTGGCGATGTCAGAAGAAATAAGAAGGGTCTATTTATTGCCCTTCAGGAATCGTCGGATACGTTCATCTCCCACGGCGTTCTGACCCCATAATTGCATTAATCCAGCAATGAGTAACACCCTAGAAACGACATCGTTAACTGCGGAGTATCGTCGTTGTATCAACTCGTAACTATAGTCGAGATCCGAGATTTAACACGGATAAAACAGCCGGTAAATGCTACGTGGCAAATTGCCGGTCTGTATCACGGGCTACGTCACTTCCTCTCGTTCTCGACATCGATACCAGCCCCGACTGACGGATCCGATTTCTCTGGACAAACATTTACCGAGAATATCACGACCTAGTCGAGAGGTAAACGATCTCTACAACTAAATTCCTACTATTATTCGATTAATTTATTCTGTAATAGTAGGGACAATAAACTAACAAAATTTGCATCTTTGTTGTGAAATTTAGGAGATTTTTATTAGATGGGAGATATATTTATTTGTAGAAGGGGAGATTTAATGAGGCATTTGTTACATTAAATTCCAAAATTCTAAATGTTACAAAAATTCCAAATTTCCAAATTCTAAATTCCAGAATTCTCAGATTCCAGGATTCTTAAATTCCCGAATTCTCAAATATCAGAATTCTCAAATTCCAAAATTCTCAAATTCTAGAATTCTCAAATTCCAGAATTCTCAAATTCCAGAATTCTCAAATACCAAAGTTCTCAAATTCCAGAATTCTCAAATTTCCAATTTCTGAAATTCCAGAATTCTCAAATTTCCAATTTCTGAAATTCCAGAATTCTCAAATTCTAGAACTCGCAAATTTCAGAATTCTCAAGTTCCAAAATTCTCAAATTCCAGAACTCGCAAATTCCAGAATTCTCAAGTTCCAAAATTCTCAAATTCCCAAATTCTCAAGTTTCCAAAATTGCAAAATTCCAAATTTCCAAAATCCCAAATTTCCAAAATCTCAAAATTCCAAAATTCCAAAATTCCAAAATTCCAAAATTCCCAAAATTCCAAAATCCCAAATTTCAAAATTCGAAAGCGCAAATTTCCAAAATTCCAAAATTCCCAAAATTCCCAAAATTCCAAAATCCCAAATTTCAAAATTCGAAAGTGCAAATTTCCAAAATTCTAAAATTCCAAAATTTCCAATTCCAAAATTTCAACTTCTAAAATTGCCAAATCGCACTGAAAATGACCCTCAAACTCCAACAAGACCCTAACAAGACTATTTCTCGAAACGATCACTGTACCAACTGATCATACAAAACAAGCAAACTAAAATAATATTGTCATGTTGGTAAGGAAGCCTACGTCAATAACGTATTCGAAACTGTCCCACACGAACCCTCTCTCTCTAACCCGTGTTCTGAAACTTTAACGAGCTCTCGAACAGTGTCCACGTCCCGTATCTCTCCTTCAGCAGAGAGGATTCACCTCCTGGATCGCACTAAGAAGTGGCCAGAGTGCAACTCAGAGGACATTGTTCCCAGTAAATTTTCCAACAGTCCCCGAGCTTCTCGGACCGTCTAACTTTTATAGTCCATCGATATACGAACGAATTGCCTTAAATTCTATCGACGGACAAACTTACAATCGAACCGACTCACGGTTTAATTTGTAAAAGCTAATTCGTTCAACTTACAACTTTCGACTTCTCCTATGGGACTTCGTTTCGATCCATCGACTTCTGTATTTACATACGATGTAACGGGAACAATTGGTACTTTATTTTTTATAGTGACTTTTAGTAGAACTCTTTTTTGGGACGATAAATTTTGAGGAGAATTAGAGTTTTGTGGGGAGGGTAAAAATTAGCGAAGTTAAATGAGCTCTTGTTTGTAAGATGAGATTGATATTTTGCAATTTTTGTGTTGTAGCTTATAAATTTTGTGAACTATTAGGGTTCTCTAATTGAAGATTTTAATTGCAGTTTCTAATTACTGAAACTTTTCAAAATAAAAGGATTGAGATTATTAAAAAATCTCAAAGTGAAAATTTTAAATATTAAAGTTTCTCAAATAAAAATTGAAGATATTGAAACTTCACAAAATAAAAATTAGGAGTATTAAAATTTCTCAAAATAAAAATTTGACGGTATTAAAACTTCAGAAAATAAAAATTAGAAATATTGAAACTTCACAAAATTAAAACTTGAAATATTACAACTTCTCAAAATAAAAATTTGGTTGTATTAAAACTTGTCAAACTAAAAACTTCCAATATCAAGCTTCTCAAACAGAAGCTAAAAGTATTAAAGCTTCCCAAAAAAGAATTCCAACCATCAAAACTTTTTCAAATAAAAATTTCAAACATTAAAGAGCTAAAAAATTGCGAGTATCATATCTCTCCGAAATATTTAATTTCCAAACATTCGAAACTAAAATCTCCGTTAAAATATTAAAAAATTGCGAACAAAAAACGACCTGAAAAATCGTCATGAAAGAAAAATTTGAAATCTTATAGCACCAAAGGTACAAGCACGCCATTTCTCTCTAAAACGCCGTCGAAATGAAATGTTGATTTAATAATTTTATTTTTTTCGTACGCATAAAATGATCTAACAATTTTCCTTCCACGTTTCTATATGCAAAATGAATTTTGCATACAAATTGAGGAGAAACGAACGACCGGCAAAGCTCTCCTTTGAAAACAAGCCGTAGCACGCGTTTAAAAAAATTTCTCTCGAAACGGGGATCCCATGCAAACATGAGAAACAACTTGCTAGTGAAAACACTCGAGCTTTCGTGGAAGCTTATTCTCACGGTATATAACGTATGAGATTAAAATACGGTTACACGAAAACGTCTATCTACGATCCATCGTGGCTTTCAAACGTTTTCTTCCTTCAAAAACATTGTATAATTGTTTCAGAGTGCTTATAACAGATTTTTGTACCGTGTCTCTTTCGTTCGTTCTTTTAGAAACTTTATAGCGTATTTCTTTGTTGGGAGATTTTTAGAAAAATGCAAGGTTTAATTATTACAAATTATAATTCATAAATAAGGCATGTTTACAAAGTACTGTAAATTATATTTTTATTATATTCTAGAAGAAAAATAATATTTATATTTATGTTAATAAATAGTTATAGATAGAAGATGCATAATATGCTGATTTACGAATTAGTCAAAATTATAGGTTAGGTGATGTGAAGTTTGATTTGAAAATTGAGAACGTTCAATATAGTGTACTTGTGTGCTGATAATTATATATTATGTTAAACTTAACTAGGTTATAGTTATAGTAAATCCTAACATTTATTAACATGAATACAAATAAAAAATCAAATACTGATCCTACATAAGAACATATCATCGTGTCAAACTAAAAACCAACAAAAGTATCTCATTGATGAGAAAATAGTTCTTGAGAAGCTGCACCCCTTAAAAATCCACCAAAAACGTGTACAATAAAATTAGAAATTCTTTTGGAACAGCTATGAGCTCTTCCTAAAAACCTGTATCTATAAAAATCCAGCTAAAACGCATACAATAGTAAGGAAATTATTTTAGAACGGATATCAGGGTCGAGTACGAAATTCCCAGCAATTATCAACTGCTCATTAATTCCCGTTTGCGAAAGGTTGGTCGCAAAGAGGGAAGGCTATCACCTAAACGCGGAGGTCCCGATCTATTTTCTTTCATTTCACGGGGTCAGAGCATCCTTAATGCGAGTCGGACGGGAAAGGAAGGCCATGAACAAAGAGGGTATCGGCGATATCGAGGCGGGAAAGCAAGCCCTCTTTACAAGCGGAAGACCGAAGAAAACGACGAAGCTCTCTCACGCTCGCTGCATCGGCAACGACTCTTTTCTGAAGCCCCCGTTTTCTCTGCCCCTCCCCACTGAACTTGTCGCAAATCCCTTTTGGACCAAGAGGAGACTGCCCTCAGCACACCTACTCTATCTTTCCTCCTCTGTTTCTCTTTCTCTGTGGATTTAGCCTAGTCGAGGAGAAGCTCTCCAAGAGAATACCTCTCGAGATATAAGCGTTTCCTTTCGTCCTTCCTTATTTCAAGCGTCGCCGTTCGAATTCACGGAAAAAACGACTATCGTGGATTTACTTCGATAACGGAGATACGCCGAGGAAATCACAATGGTTGCCGAAAGAAAGAAAGGGGTGAACGCAAGAAATGAACCGGTTGGACTTTTGTCGACCGGAAATTATCTTTAAGAATTGGAATTGGTCGGTTTTCTGCTCGACGGTTCTTGTTTCGGTATTTGATAAGTATTGCTGATATCGAGTTAAACTTGAGTAGAGGTCTTAAAACTTCAGAGAGTGATAGACATACAAAGTATGTTAAATTATTCACTTGCACTATGAGGGGAAGATACA